CTAACAAAATTCAAAGTTTTCACGAGTTGAAAGTCAGCGATTTTGAGAAGCGTCAAGAATTCGCTGCATGGGTTTTCCGGCAAATTGATATTGATGAAAACTGGCTGTCAAATGTTCTAAGAACAGATGATGCTCACTTTTATCTAAAGGGAGAATTTAACATTCAAAACTGCCTCATTTTGGCAACAGAAAACCCTAGGATTTTTACAGAAATACCACTTCATCAGCACAGAGTTACAGTTTTGGGTGGGTTCACTTCTTCTTTTATTATTGGGCCATTTTTCTTTGAAAAAATCAATGGAAGAACTTTTAAAACCGTTTTTGTAACTGGTGAACGTTATGTTCAACTTTTGAGAGAAAAGGTTATTTCCATATTGCAGGACAGACAAGCACTAAGCGAAATAACATTCATGCAAGATGGAGGACCTCCTCCTATCTCCCGCGGTGCCAAACAATTGCTGAAGGATACGTTCGGTGGAATTCGTTGATAAGTCGCCACTTTATATACCAGTGGCCTCCAATATCACCAGACTTGACGCCTTACAATTTCGGTTATGGGGGTACATTAAGTCGCGTTTTTATCGATGACGGCCTACCACATTGCCCATGTTGAAGGCTTCTATCAGATGACACGTTTTATAAATTTCAACTATTTAATTGTAACCATTCTGTCATCTGTCGTCTGCAGGCGGTGTTTGAGAATGAAGGGCGCCACATTGAGCAAGGATTGTGACCTAATACAAGAGAGAAGGCAGTTACCTCATGTGTTATATTTTGCAGCTCTTTGTTTTGGGTTATGGGAATAATAAATGCTGTCCTCACATCTTGACTCTTTTTTTTCTGTAAACAGTAATTTTTTGTTTGTCATTTGCCCACATTTTATATTATGTCGTGCAGGCCAAAGTGTTATAACTTCTCGAATAACACTGGTATACACAATTTTACCCCTTATGTTTAGTTTATCGCTTTTCGCTCATTAGAAGAAATAGCATAAGGAATAATATCTGTATCCCCCCCCCCCCCCCCCCAACTTTAGATATTTTGCGCAAAAAATAATACAAAATGATTTTACTACCACGTTTTTCAACGCAAAAGTCGATTTAAAAATGATTTTTTTTGAGGGGATACATTTTCAAAATTATGTACAGTATAATAAACAATGATAACATTTGACAAACCCATAGGATATTTGGAATAAAGTACGACAAATATATTTTGTCACTCCCCTCTATATTTCATTTTTGGATCATGACAAATATCCAGTTAAATAGTCAAGTGTCGACAATTAGTCAAGAAATTTTGGTACTATATTAACATTTCAAAAATCGTGTATTGATATCAGTAGTTATTTTCAAACATTCAATTTATTTCACAAAACTCCATCTAAAATATAAATATTTTTTGCTACATGTTTTAATTTGCATATACCTATTTTACATATCTCAGATTGTATTTAAAAATCGTCAACCATTTCTTCTAACTTTTGGCGAAATGGTGTTTTATTAATTTATCATTTGATATTGTTAGGGCTCTTTCCTGGTATTCAAAAAGAAAAAATACGTATCGTTCAGTTATATTTTTCAATTTATTAAACAATTTGGCCGCTGAATCTCTGATTCTGGTAGAGCGCCATCTAGCGAATAAAGTTGTAACTAAAATCAATTTCGAATTTTTCATTATTTGCCATAAAAAATCCCATTGCATACTGAACACAATGGTGTTTACCGCATTGCTCTAGCGCAAATATTCGCGGAGTTATTAATTTTTAAAGTTGTGCGGGACTTTTGGATCACCCTGTATATAGTGTAGTAGAATATATATTATTAAAATATATTTTGGTGATTTTGGAATTAGAGTTTTATAGAATTATTACTTGCGGATGCTGATTAATGTTTTGGATATATGAGTATTTTTTATGTTATTGTTTTACAGTCGTGGTATAATCACCACGGATCACCATTTGCTTTAATTGTGCTAACAACACAATTTAAGAAGAAATTCCCGATTTGAGGCGTAAAGAAGAATATAAAATATTACATATTAACATATGAAAAAAAATAGAAAAAATAAAAGATAAGTGGGTCAGGTGTTGATATGAAAAATAAAGAAGGCATTTCCTGACCACGAGCACATGTGCTTTTTAGATGGCAGAGCGCCATCTAGTGTAGAAAAAATAAACTAGACGTTTATTTAGCTTGCTCCGTGATATTTGGCCAACCCAATATCTTGATAAATCAAGAAAAGCCATGAGAAATCAAGAAATGGGTATTTAAGGCCAAATTTGCGTAAAGACGCTTAACACATGAAAAAACAATAGAAAAAAATATAATATAAGTGGGTCAGGTGTTGATATTAAAAATAAAGAAGGCATTTCCTGACCACGAGCACATGTGCTATTTACATATGTAAAAAAAGATTGAGCCGGCCAACGGGAAAAGCAACAACAATAGGTTTATATAGGGAGAGCCGCGACGTCTGGCGATCGACAGAGTAGTTCATTATAGAAGTTTTTAATTTTAAAATGAAATTACATTTTTATATAACATATATATGTTGTAATGCGTGGAGCCCCCGCTTTTCTCATCCAACATGCAGTCATGGGCTAGAATGGGAGCGCACTAGCCTGAAAATAAATGAAGACCACACACATAGGAATATGGTTAGCTCGGTTTAGAGGGGGCAGCACCAGGAAAGGTAAGGTGGACTCTGGGATGTTCAATCGGGTGCATGGCGACCTGTCTACTGTTTTGTCTTCTTTCTATGCTCCTTCATATGGGCTTAATAGAGAAACCAGCTTATATCTCAATGAAGACGTCAGAGATGGCGGTCCTTTTCTAGGTGTCCGTTTCCAATCAAGGACTGGCCTGATTGATGTTCATGTTCTCTTATCTTCTTGGACTATACCAATGATATGTTATTAGATTTTAATGGGTGCCTCGCACTTCTTTTTCGGTGATATATTTTTTTGAATACTATTTTGAAGTTACATAATTATTGGTGATAACGACTATAATAATATTCTCGGTAATATTTAGACGACAAGACGAAATAAAATAAGAAGAGTTTCTTTAATAGACATATATCGAAGCAAGCTTTCGGGCAAAAAAACCTTCTACAGGCGTGATTACGGCAACAAACGTGACACTATAATGCAGGTACTGTGGCTAGAAAGAGAATATATACACATGATTATTTACATATTTGCGGAATAAACTATGTAAATGAGATTTGCATTTGTTACGACTATTATAATTAGAGAGATAATAGGTAAATAAGGTATTTGCATATTTGGAGTTTGAGACTATAGGAGACTATGCTAACCTCAATTACTGGATATGCGTTTATTTCAAAAAAAATTAAGCGATGTTGATTTCAGGCTATCTTGTTAAGGTTATTACTGTAAGGCCAGGAGAGCACGATAGGCATCAGGGAGATCTATTTTACGGTTAATGCTGTTATGTCCGTGGGATTCTAGGTGTTTCTTGGTAGAACATTCCTTTGTAAAATAATTGTATATGTACAACAAATATAATGAGACATATATATAAATAAATAGTATTATATCTATAATACTCGTATAATAAAAAATGGTATAAGAGAAGTAGAGAGAGTAGAGAATGTTGAAATGAGAGTAGATAAAGATTATATTTTAAGGCATCAAAAATGTTTTTTTTTTGAGTAGGGGTATTACAAGTTCAGGCTGTAGCCTCGGCAATTATGCGTTTTATGAGATGAAAAAATATATAATTGACATGTATATCACTATATAAATTGTTGAAATTGGTGATATGTTCAGATTCATACTTGATATTACAAAATAATCTCATTATTTGACCATCCATAATATTTTATCAAATTGCATAGCGAGATTTAAAAACAATTTCCCCAAAATCAACATTTAATTAAAATATTTTAATATAATAAGTTATTCGTCTCAAATAACTTATTATAGACTTAAAATAAAAATCTAGAAAACGTTGACTTCTCATTTAGTTAACAATTAATTCGGTTACCCTGGTAGCAAGAAAATATTTAATAAAGTTGATCGTTTAAACTTTTTTTTTTATTTTACCGACGTTCACCGCTAAAATGAACATGAAACCTTCGCCATAATTAATTTTTTAAATTGAATTTAAAGTTATTTTAATATATTATTTCAATATATTTATAGATACAGAAATATTATAATTTATTATTTGAGTTTCATAAACATAATTCTCTTCCAAAACTATTATAGACGCGTACGATTCTTTTGAAAATAAAGCAATTTCTACTGCCCTTACTGTAATAGAAAAATTAATAAGTCAGGCCCTCCCATTAATTTTTACATTGCAGTAAGGGCAGTAGAAATTGTTTTATTTTCAAAAATATAATCTTACGCGTCTATAATAGTTTTGAATTTTGATAAGAGATGGCGCGCTAATGCTTCATAATATAATTATCTTTAAATAAAAAGGCATACATTGGATCAAATAAATGATATTTCGATCCAATATATGCCTTTTTATTAAAAGATTTATTTATGGATTGCTCTATTTTCAAAACATAATTATCTTTATTTTATTATACAGGGTGGTCCATAAGTCACGAATACTTCTATACTTTTATTAAAAGGAAAATTAGAATAAAATATAATTTTACTTCTAGTTTTTCTTTTAATATTTAATAAAAAAATAAAACTGTTCAAGGCTTAAGGGCTACCCTATTTTTCATAATTGAAAACGTTTTTACAGCCTTTATCGATATCATAAAACCGAACATATTGCCCAAATAAAGCCTATATTTCACCCAAATATTGATTTATATATAATATACAATATATTATAATATAATGCGGCCTATGATTGTAAAACGACATTTGAAAATTATCCTGCATGTGTTTCTTTTCATCGAAAAATCAAAATTTTTATTTTAAAGAGAAATAACGATTATTTATAACCTTAGAGATGAGGTATAAAAGGATGAATTGTGAAGAGTAATGATAAACGGAAAAATAAAAATGTGCAGGAATGGGAATCGAACCCACAGTGTTCCGCTTACCGGGCAGATGCCATGTCCACTAGGCTACCCTGGACAATATACAATATAATAATATGTGGCGCGTCTAGTTTTAACGTTTATTTTGACGGGAGAGGCGAAAGGCATATCCTGACCAGGCTCACATGAGTATTTTTAGATGGCAGAGCGCCATCTAGTGGAACAAAAATAACTAAACGTTTATCTAACTTGTTCCGTAATATTTGGCTAACCCAATTACTTTAAACACAAAAAAAGCCAACAACTTGCGCGTTTCGGGGCTGTTGCCCTCATCATAGTGCTGCAGACTGTACCTCTACGACCAAATATTTGATCTCAGAGGCTTCTTGAGAAATTAAAAAAATGGGTATGTCCTAAAATAAAAAAAATAATATGCAAATACTAACTAACCGATTGAAAAAGAAATATTCCATTTAATGAAAAGAAACTCATCTCCAGAAACCTGTGTTGCATTACTTGATTCATATCCAGGAGATATAAATCAATTGAATGCTGTATGTGTCTGTATATCCTTATTTTTAAATCCAATGCTTCCCTCCTGCGGTGAATCTGTATAAGACCTGTGCTCTTAATAAAGCTGTATGTGTATGTTAATGAGCCTATGTATCACTTGTACAGTACCTCCGTTCTGGACCAAGGAGCCCCACAACCTCGAGGCCGTGATGAGCTCCGCTGTGGTGGTCCACTGTCAGGCCAACGGATACCCATCACCACAGATAAGGTGGAAGAAAGCTTCAGGTGAGATTCACCTTATAGGTCATGTTTCTTGACAATTTCAACTCCTAATAAAAGACATTCAAAGTAGTGTATCTGAGGAAAACAATTTATAGATTGAAGAAAGTTTTAAGGAATATTGAAAAAATATACAAGATATATATTTATATATTAGGGAAATATTTACAAACAAAACTATGCTAAACTGAGTTAGTGTCTAAAATAAAAGCGTTCCAATAGTATTTAGTAGTGTTTTTCATAAAATTCAAAATGAATCTGTAAATTAGTTAAATTTTAATTATTTGTATTTTTATGAAATAAGATCGAACGGGTTTTGATACATCGTTACATTGTTTTTATTCTATATTCTATACCCTTTACAATCGATTTCATTCAACCAAATTCGCATAGCAAGCCTTTGTACATATTTAAATTGTGTTGATATTCTCTCTCTTTTCAACTAACTAAATTACATACTAAGACTTTTACATATTTCAAATGATCTTTCTTTCTTTACTTTCTATGTGTAGTTTACCTCTAAAGTGTAAGTGTCTCTTGTAGGACATAACGCTCTAAGTAGAAATAAAATATATTTAAACCCCTATAAATATTATATGAAAATAAGATGTATGCTCATTCAATTGCCATGATATATTAGGGCTATTCTAAATGTCCTTAAATGAAATTAGTCTCAATACGAGCATTATTCAGTAATATTCATTCTCTTTTTTTACTAATTCTCTACAATAGAACATAGGAGGTCCTTCTAAATGCTTAAAATCTGTTTAAACGGCTCTATGCTAAAGATTTGTAAACATCAATGGATACCAAATTGTTTCTGATTTTTAAGGCTAAAATATGAGAGTATTATAGAAGGAATTTTTTAGTTATCTCGCATGATAATATTATAATAGTTGTTTAGTAGTATTCATTTTCTCTCTGGATCCTACTTCTTTACAATAGAAATTAAGACGTCCTTCTAAATGCTTAAAATCTGTATAAATGGCTCTATGTTAAAGATTTGCAAACATTAATTTATATGAAATTGAAATTCTGCCTCTTTAAGAGTAAAACATGAGAATATTATAAAAGGAATTTATTGAGTTATCTCACATATAATCTTATGAAAGTTGTTTGTGTAGATTTCATTATAAAATAAATAAAGTTTCCAGGGCTAATTTTCTTGTGCAAAATTTATATTTTCAAGCCTTCGGACCTGTCAGTCCTTCCAGATTTTTAAATTGGAAGTAATAAAGTTATTTTCATCTACGTATTTAATAAAAAGTATGCTAATGATTTATTAAAATACATTATAAAGAAAATTGATATTTCAACTTCGACCATTGAACAATTAGATCTATATGTGTCAAAATTAAAGCGGCGATGGACGATCCTCGTATATTGAGGGAAGAGATAAATATTGCCACGTGGAAAATTAGGAAATAAATATTTCAGGATGACACAGCCATTTATTTAAGGCAAGAACAAACGATGATTGATAAAAAAAGATAAACAATGAGGGAGGTTTACAGAGTAGCAAAATATAAACATTAAAATTAATATTCTGCTAATAAAAAATAATAAATACTTTGCTACAATACATTATATAGAATTTGATAATCAGTTTTATTAAATAAATTCGCCTTAAATTTTCAAAATGTTCTATGATATTTCCTTCCGCTTTTATTTTAATTCATATAGATCTAATTGGTCAATGGTGGAAGCTGAAATACAGTATTTATTTTCTCCTTTTTAGTGAATTTTAATAAAATATTTCAATTTATTAATAATTTATAGTATGTCCTCTCTAAATTTTGAATGTTCATATTATTCATATTTAAAAATTATAAATAAGTAAATTTTATTTTAATTTTTATAAATTATCATATTTTTCTGACAATATTCTTACAATTATTTTAGCTCTAGTTTTATCTTTAATTTTCATGAAACACCAGTCGCTAATTACTCCAAAAACGACTGAACCATTTTCTCCTTTTGGCATACATATATTATATTTCTAAACTATCATGGCTAATTAGAAATCAGATATTCTGTCCACTCGTGTCGCTTGCTTGATTAATTGAACGTGCAAAATTAGACTTCTACATGTTCAAGCTATATTATAAATTGATTACAAATTTTGATAAGAAATATAGATATTAGTCTAATTTGACTGATAACCTATAAGTCTTAAATTAGAATTATATTGTTAGAGACAGAGAGAGAGTACAATCGAGAAAGTGTACACAATGGTATATTAATGGTCTGGAAGTATATATTAAAACATGATTACAAAATATAAAGAAATTATAGAAATTATTCCAGCCCCGACAATTTCAACCACATTTTATTGAACTCCAGCTGCTCATTACGTCTAGAAACTGCTTCTCCTATTCTTGTTCGTTTGAAAGGAAATTTTCTTCTTTCCTCTATTCCCGACCCTCGCAGGAAACGAAAGGTCCGAGATTTCGTAAACATACGATGTTAGTTGTATTGTACTAGTGTATTAAATAATAATATTCTAAGTGGTCAGAAAGTATTTTTTTTTAGAAAATTATCAAAAAATATTAAACGAAATATAAAAATATTAGTCTATTATTGACCACCCAGATTTCTGGAATTTTTTCAATTTGCATGATTAGCTGTATTGAGCGAGCCTACAATTTTTTTTTTCAGATTCTATCTGGAATTATATTAAAATTGAACACAATTTGGTATTAAATATAGAAATTGAATTTAAACATTGCCGATCACTACGACCAATCAGAAGTCTAATATTTTGTCAACTTGAACTGTCATCGATGGTGAGCCAGTGTACCAAATTTCTTACTTCTAGGATCTCTATATGTATATTGAAAATTTGTTACACATTATTTGTATACAAATATACAGAATGTCAGGCAGATTAGCAAGATAAATAAAATGCAAAACATAATTATGCTTTTCTCGAATACCTTGTACAAATGTTCTTCAAAATTATATTTATAAACTTGTTTCAAATTGTCAGTAAAACAGTCAGAAACATTTTAGAGCCCTTAGTGAAATTCACCACTGATGACATAAATTCTGCAAGTAGAAAAAAAGGTCTTAAAAAATTAATTGTTACGGTAAAGGCTTATATAAACTTTTATACAACCCGGAGGCTAAATATTTATTTTTGATGCTAGTTTGTAATAGTTATAGAGAAAGAGGTCTATAATAATGATTGTTTTTAAAATTATGTTTAGCGTTTATTTGGTAATATGAGAAAAAAATATCCTCAGAGTTAACTTGAATCTCTTTATGCCCATTTAAGCCTGTATAATATATGATTTTATATATATTTTTCCATTTCAAGATGTAAACGTTTATCGATCAATGTGTGAATTCTTATATACAAATCACTGAAGGAAACGCTTGTACGAGGGCCTTTCGATGAGAAAAGTGAAAAGAAAAAAATGGTAACTTCTATTTGGGAAATGGTGTTTTATGTTTCCCCATTGTTCTCATTCAGATCCACATACCTGGTCCTATTATGTAATGTTTTTTTTCACGCCCTCGGAGAAATGTGATGTTTCGAGTCCTCATATTATCCATTCACATCGTCGATAATCTCTTCGTTTGAGAAAAATTTCCTCCCTCCAAGACAATTCTTTAGATTTGATAATCCACATGTGGCCAAATCTGGGGAATAAGGTTGATAATGGATCAAGTGGAAACCTAATTAGAACAATTTGGAAGCTGGTACATTCGACTTTGGTGGTAAAAAAAAACCTTCTGATCCAACCTCGGAGGTTTGGCAGGCAATTTTTCCTTTAATTGATGCAAAAGTGTGGCATAGTACTCTCAAGTTATTGTTTTTTTATTTTCAAGTAGTCAATTAGAAATATTATTTAGGAATCCCAAAAGACAATGATAATCATTTTTCCCTATGACACAACACTCTTTGCCTTCTTTGGAGTCCTTTCACTCGTCCTGTCGACTACTTTGACATCTGTTTGAATTTTAATTTTTATTGGTGTATCCAGATATCATCTACATTCACATAACAACGCCAAAGATCCTTAGGATTAAGAGCGATCAACGATAAAGACTGCTTGGAAATGCCTTTCCACATTTCTGGTCGTAAGCAATCACGGTCCCCATCTTGCACACAGATTCTTCATCTATAATTTTACATAAAGGATATTTATGTGCCCTTTCTGATAAGACGCTCGTGGTTTCACCTATCTCACTAATAGATATCTATCTGATTAATATTCCATAACGATGCAATAGGTTCTTTATACCATTTCTGGTGTGGTTATATCCATAGGCCTTCCGGGACGTTGTTCATCTTGTGTTG